TAAAAAAGCTTTCCCTCCCCCTCCCCTACTTGCCTTTTCATCCCCATCTCTTGCTGCTCACCCACGTAATACTGAGTTCCAGAAGGCCAGTCTGGATTTCCTTCTGCAGCCACATTAAGACATCTTGCTTTCCTTTGTACATGTCGCTTTCCTATATATGCTGCTTCCTCAGCCTGGGTGGGGATGGTGGAAAACCAGAATAGTTTTTAAACCATTCTTTTTCTCATTTGAACTTTATCAAGTTAATCACAATTTCACCCATCTTCCAAACCTAATCCTCATTTTACCCTTTGTTTTAAAGATATTATTCTTAACTTCTTATTATAAGAGGGCCTTTATTCCAGAGCAGTAAATAATTTATCATATTAGTCATAGAGGTATTGATAACAGTGTTCTTTTTTTACAAAGTTCAAATTTAGTTTAGAAAGTTCTATTATTTTCTCAAAAAAATTGTCTACAACTAAAGAGATCATAATTCCTTCAGTCTAAACTGTAATATAAACAAAAATATCTTCCTGAAAATTAGCAGAAAAATACCTTATACAATTTATCCTTATTTATTGCCTTAGTAAATACATTCACCATTTATGTGGGAAAAATTGTATTCTTATAGTGAGAGTCAGGGAGTCATAAAAGAAAACAGGATTAAGAACCAGAGAGGTGAGTTTTATGCTCTATGTTTGCATATCATTTGACCTAGACATGTCACTTACAGTTTTCTGGAGATTAAGGTTTTCTTCTTTACAATGGGTATTATTTTATAATTTCTGTGTAATATTTTGTAATGCATAGAGGTCTTTCTCATTTTGGATCTATTTTAAAAATGAGAAAATGAAGACTCAAAGAGGTTAAGGAACTTTTTCAAAAATCACATAGATTTTAAATGGTGGGTCCACAAATTCTCACATGGGGATAATATTATCATGCTTACTTTACTGGTTTATGATGAGAATAAAACTGAATTATTGATCTACAAGAATTTTGCCAATCACAGTGGTTCTTTTATTGTAGATGTTATTGTTGTTGTCTCTACTACTTAATAGGAGAGATTAAAAAGCATGAACTTATATGCATCCATGTGTATACACTGAAAGACATGCTGTGCAAACTTGGGTTTAGATGTCTCTGGATAGAATTAATCAAGTTAGCCTGATTTTATCTGCATTTATTCTGTCTTCTTTTTTGCTTTGTTTGTTCTTGATGTGCTTAAGATGCTGTATGCAGGACTGCCTGAGCTAAGTGGAATCCAAGACCTGAAATATGTATATAATAATCTTCGTCCGCAAGACACAGACCTGGAAGCAACAAGTCATTTTACCAAGTAAGATCAGCTATGAATGCGTGCGCATACATGCATGAATGTACACAGACACACGTTCCACGTTGGAGATGATTTCAGGTTGACCAGTCATTGGTATGAAGCTGTTGTTTCTAGAACAAGCTTGTGTTCCCTTTTCCAAAGAGCAGAAAGGAAGCAATGTGAATGTCTAGCAGAAGGCCCTAGTCGGAGTTTCTACAGCATACCATTGTTTGCTAACCAGCCTCTTCATCTAACAGATTGCTCAGAAAGAGGTCATTGAAAAGAGCAAGAGCTGACGTAAATAAATTGGTTGTTCTACTTGAACTATGTCCAGAAAAACAATTTGGAAAAAGAGATTTATGATGAGATATGTACTCACTACTTTCATCTATAAGACAATACACATATTGGGATATTTGGTCAAAGACCTGTGACTCTCTTCTACTTTTAATCTATATTTTTGTTAAATAAGCCTAGCAAAACACTAGGGTATATCAAGGTAAGAGTCTAGGCAGAATATGATGAATGTCAATTAGACCTCAAATCATGATCAAGAGGGCAGTGCATTTTATAAGATCCTTTTGAATTTTTCTTTTTAAATGGATATATAGTTCCTGGCAAATTTTATGTGCTCAATAAATGTTAGCAGTAATTATTTTCCTACAAACAGAGAAAAACTACATTCTTTCTTTCTTGTAACCTCTTAATTATGATCTTCAGTCTAACTCTTAATTGTTCTCACATTTTCCACTGGAAATTTATAAACAGAGATTATATTATTTTAAGTGAAATGTATGCTTTAAAGAAAATGATGATTATAATAAAACCTCTTCCAAGTTTTACTTTTTCCCTCCCCCTTCCAGAATATACAGCAAAAAATTGCTTCCCATTCCAATGTGGCTTCACGGGGATGTCTTACACACTTAAGGAATTTCACTTGGCTGAGGGATTTCTGTTTCATGAACTTCAATGGGTAGGCTGCCCTTGTTGAAAAGAAACAATGTGACAGAATCACAAAATAGTAGAGCTGGTTTATTATATTATATAATATTATATAAATATACGGTTTATTTATTCTGATAGTAGACATTCAAATGAGAAAACTGAGATCCAGATTATTGTCTTGCCCATGACTAGCAGAAGTAGCAAGAAACAGTGCTAGAACTAGGGCCCAGGTCTTCTGGTCCCTCTACTCTTGGGTTTTTCCATTATTCAATATTGGAAATTATATGATGTGGTTACGGAACTCCAGGAAGAACTGATGCAAAAAAAAATAATAATAATAATAATTAAAAATAAATTAAAAACTACCTTCCTGCTATCTAGTTTGTTAGAGATTTCTTAGGGGAGTCCAGCAAGTTTGTCTTGGTCTTAAAAAATGCCCTTTAATAGTACAGTGACCTATGAAAGAAGCATTTGTTTACATCTACTCACAAATCACAAGTAATTGATGTTTGACTGTGGCCAATGACACTAACTTAAAGACTTGGGAAGGTATTTTAGATCCTTTATTTCAAGGATCAGGAACTCCATAGTAATCTCAACTAATGGGGATGGGTGTCTTGCATGAGAAAACGCAGGGAAAGCCTGAGAAAGAGCAGAAGGGCAGCTGTCACCGAGCCTGAAAGGTCCTTCAGAATTGAAGGCAGCTCTAGGGACCACATCAGCAGGAACTTACTCCTTTCCCTCTGGCTGTTTAATCCGAGTACAAAACTCCATCCCATGCAACTGGGTTTGCATAGTACCAAAAATAGCCCCCGTCAGGGTATCCCTTTAGGAGAAGATCTGAGTGGTACTTTTTTCTTTAAAATGGCTGCAGCATGGCAGATACAATGGTTGACATGTCAATGGGACTGGATAGGAAGGCAGAGAAGGAGCATGAAGAGAGCTAGGAAAGGTAGAGAACACAAAGTTGGGCTGCAGGACGTGTTCGAGATATGTCACTGTTTGGGCAGAACAATTATAGTGCTGTAGCTTACTATTAGTTCCTCCTGAAAAAGGAAAAGCCATATATTTATTAGGATGAACAAAATTCTTTCAGGCCCTGGCCAAAAGAAAAATGTAAATAGGCTTTATTCATCTGCCAGAATTCCATCTCTTCCTATCCCTCTACTTCACGGGACACACTCAGATCTGTAAAGAGCATGATCTTGGATATGAGTGGCCTTGCCTATGGTGACTCATCTCCCCTTCCCATTCAAGAGGACATGAACTAATGTGGGAAGTAGATCTGAAGCCAGAACCTCATGGCAGTGAGCCGGACCCTGTGATCCTGCCTGCATACCTCTGCCAGGCCGGTCTTCCCACTTACCAATGTTATGTCCTGTTAATTAAACTTCTTTCTACTACTTTGGGATAAAGAACTTGTTCTCCATTGAAACCTTAAAAGGCATCAAATTATGTAACCTAGGACACATTATTTCTTAGTTCAATAATTTTCCTTGGTGTGCCATCTCCTATCTCTTACTTCCTAAAACTTCATAATCTGATTGTCTTTGTCAAGATTTATCTAATTGCCTGCCCCCTCCCTCCATTATTTCACATGAATCCTTTTCTGGGTAGGCCATTCTCTCAATGTACATTCATTCCTGCTTTGTCTGCTTCACTCACATTGCTAGCCTCACTAGAAATGCTCCAGTGGAATCATAAAATTTCTGGACTACAGGAAGAGTCTGATCTAACTTTTAATCCCACCCATCCCTTAATATTCTGGACAGCTAGTACCTCATCCATGAAACCTTCCCTGATCATTCCAGTACTCACTAATCTTTTCTTCTATAATTCTCTAGAACATGCCATCTTTTGTGCTGTCCTTAATTTATTGCTGAATTACCTACCGTCTTATATATCACTTTAATTAATATATTGATCAGTTACACCAATTTATTACAAGTAAGCAGGGAAAGTGTCCCCACTTCTAAGAATATCTGAATGTGAAACAAGCCCTATTTAACAGAAAATACAATTTAAACATCAAATATCAAGTATATAAAAGGCATATAGTAATAACTACAACTTAATGCAGTGTTTCTTGTGTGTCAAGCCCTGTTCTAAGTGCTTTTCTTACAGTAGTGTATTTAATTGTCATAACAATCCTATGAGGTATTAATATCTTTATCTACATTTTTATACTAGTAATTGAGACCCCAGGGAAGTTAAATGATTTACCAGAAAGCATTCTCTATGCTCAAAATCACCTCTTCCATATGTGGCCTCTCAGGAATGTGACGCTTCATAATTCAGACCATAGTCTTCTCAAGGTTTTTCAGAGCCTGCATTGGCTGAAGTTTGACAAAGATATATTCTTCACCCTTTGTCAGGCACTAATCCTCTTATCCGGGATACCTCAAGCATCAGCAGAGAGCAGAAGTTCCTTCCTGAAACTATTATCTCTATGCCACCACCAGGAGTCCCCTGGGTGTTTGGTTCCAGATCTGCTTTGCAGCCTTGGGAGATTCCTGAAGGGTAACTTGGCTGCTGACTCCCTGGAAGTCACCTTCCTTCCTTTTCCTTTTGCAGCCCATTCCACAATGCCTTGCACCTCTCCCTACTTTTATTTTTTCTTGTTAGAGAAATATCCCATGAGGCTCACTATCCCCTAACTTCCAGGAGCCCATCTTAGTCATATTTTCTTAAAGTCTCAATTACATACGTTTAGTTTTACATATGATTTAATGTGCAAATAGCCTATCTGTTCAATTTCTCTCTGTTTCTTGCTCAATATACATATATCAAGCACTGAGGATCTTTTTCTATCACACATCCCACTTAACTATTAACAATCTCTTACAGAGGGGCCAGCAGCCTCCATTGATTGTAACTGTAACTCTCTACCATTCAGAAATGTTTCCTAAGATCTATCATTTATATATTATAAATTTCTGAAACAATTTATGTATTACGTCTTTTGGAAATCCTTAAACAATGAATACGGTGAATTTGTGAAAAGTAGCCTGGAATAATTAAAAACGATTTTAATGCAATTCCAAATAACATGATACTCAGGATTCAAATAACTTAAAAATTATGTAGACTTGTTTACTTTGTGTAAATAATATCATTATCTTGTGCTATGTTCTCTGACATCACATGGATTTTAAAACGTAAGGAGATTAAGTGCAGACCGCATTACACGTAATTCACCAAAAAAAAAAAAAAAAAAAAAAAAAAAAAAAAAAAAAAAAAAAAAAAAAAAGAAAGTTTTGTGATGGATCCATCATCAGTGTCTTGGTGCTTCAGTGAGTGGCATTAATTCATAGATAGATAGATGAATAGATAAAAGTATGTTATACACATATCATGTGAGTCTTTCCATATTTAAGCTCCTTGTTCTTTTTATTTCTTTGTTCTGATAGGCTAAAAGTGTTTTATGCTACTGTTTATTGTGATACAACTACTGTGTTACAGACAAAAGTAAGACAAGAAAATTCTCTCTCCCTTCTCCATCAGGCTCACAGATTGGGATCACAAGCAAAGACTAAGCCATCTGAGACATAACATCCATAGCTACTTTAAGCGCCCTGGTCCTAACTACAATATTAGCACTAAGAGGCTGCCCCTCTTGATCATATTTGAGACTTGAAAGCAATAAACAGCTTTTTCCTGCCTCTCAAATGATGTACTCTATTTATGAACAACCCAAGATTTTACGTTACTCCTAGACATATCCATTCTAGGTCAAGAGCTTATACCAACAGTTTCAGAGGATGCTACACACTGTGTGGCATTGAAAATTCTTTATAATTAATGGTATTTAAAGGGAAAATGGAAAGTCAAATTGGTTTGCTGGCCACAAAAGCTTTTTACATCATCATCAAGTACTCTCTGTTTCCTTCACTCTCTTCCACTCCCCTTACAGCTGAGTGCTATTGAACAGAATCAAGAAAGTATCATGACTCAGTCCCTGCAAATTGATACTCTCATGTAATATCTCTGCAGAGCCTACTGCTAGGCAACAAAGGCAGCCATCCATTAAAATGCTGTCCAAAAGGGTTATTTCAGAAATTTCAATCACTCTCAAA